TCCTTCCTTCCTTTTTCTTTTTTCTTCCTCCCTCCCTCTCTCCCTCCCTTCCTCCCTCCCTTCTCCATTTTCCTTTCCCCTTCCCTTTTCCTTCTTCCTTCCTTTTCTCCAACTTTTCCACCCTCCCTTCCCCTCCCTCTCTTCCTTCCCCCCCTCCGTTTCTCTTTTTCCTTCCCACCTCTCCCTTCCATCTTCCTTTCCTTTCCTTCCCTCCCTCCTTCCTCTCTCCACGATCCCCCAGTTGCAGGCCCCTCTGGCTGGGAACGAGGGGTTCTGTAGTCCAGCCTTAAAAGGCTAGGCTAGGAGCGGAATCCTGGCCGCTACCTTCAACGCTCCGGACCGAGATTTGATTCCGGAGTGGAGGCCTGGCTGTGTTAGATTCCGGAGCCGTGTTGCTATGTACATCCCTTTCGCCTAGCAACCGGGCAGGCATTCTGCCTTTTAAAGAGCCCCTGTTCCAGTTCCTCTTTTTTTTTTTTTTTGTTCCCTTCCCCTCTCCGGAAGGGCAGAGCTCTTAATTGGAAGGTCAGCCATGGCACCCAAAAAGAGGGGGCGCAAAAAAGAGGAGGCCCCCAAAGAACAAGAGGTGGACGACAGTATTGTGCCGGAGCATAGCCGGGAATTTTATCTGATCCAGATACGAGATTTGGAGGGGCGCCTGGCCCGGTGAGTTTGTGGGGTGACGGGGGAAGGGGCAAGCTGGAAGGCAGGGAACCCCAACTGGTTTAAAAAAAAAATTATTCCGGATCCGGGCTTTGCTTAGCTTCCGAGTCGCTGCCGAAACACAGGACTGTGTCCATCGGAAGCGGATCAAAAGCATCGAGCATCGGATTTTTATAGCTTGTTCATCCCATCCTGGGCAAGACAAGCGAGAGCTTGGCCACGTGTGGCAAATACACCCCCACAGCATTTTGGGGTTCATTCCCTCGTTCTGGTTTCTGGCTGAGGATTTGTTCACAGATGGGTTGAAATTCTCGAGTTTGGTACCCATTTGTTGAAAAAAAAATGCAAAAAATGACAGATTTTAAGGTGCATCAGGGGCTGCTGGAGGAATCAGACGGTCCAGAGTTTCCTTTTTAAATTGCAATTCCATAAAACTCCCTAAATCTACTGGATTTTGACTCCCAGAATTCTCAGTGATGCCCACGGGGGCTGGGAATTCTGGGAACAGAGGTCCGCGCCTCTGGAAGGAAGGATCTCTGGTAGGGGGGAGATTGTGGTAGGTATCAGAGTGTTGTAACACAGTCCTCGACTTACAAACTTTCGTTTAGCGACCATTTGAAGTTACAACGGCACTGGGGGAAAAAAAAGAAGACGTATCACCGTTTTTCAGACGGGAAGTCCTCGGCATACGACCACAATGAAGCCCGAACTTTCTGTTACTAAGCAAGACAGTTTTGGCCTGTCTTACGACGTTTCTTGCCCTAATTGTCCCCTGCGGTTGTTAACTTAGTCACACGGTCGCTAAATGAATCTGGCTTTCCCAGTGACTTTGCTTGTTGCAAAAGGGGATCACGAGACTTCAAGACACTGCAACCATCATAAATGTGAGTCAGTGGCCAAGGGCTCGAATTTTTTGGTTGGGGGGGATGTTGCAATGTACGTTGTAAGTGTGACAAACAGACAGAAGCCACCTTTTCCAGGGCCGTCGTAACTTCCAAACAGTCACTAAGTGAACTGCGGGAAGGACTAGCTGTCCTTATCACCGTTGCAGCATCCCCGTGATCAAAACTGGGCTGCTTTGGCGACTGACTCACATTTATGACGGCCGCAGTGCCCCGGGGTGTGTGTGTGTCACGCGATCCCCTTTTGCAACCTTCTGACAACCAAAATCACTGGGGAAGCCAGATTCACAACAAACGGGGCAAGAAAAGTTGTAAAACGGGGCAAAACTACTACTTGCCTCGCTTAGCGGCCTAAATCTGGGGCTCTGTTGAGGTTGTAAGCCGAAGACTCCCTGTAGATTGATCTGGGGCGCTGGGGGGGGGGACGCTGTCACTTTGCTAGATACCAGCAGAAATGGGACCAGCTGCAGGTAAGCGAAGAACTCTTCCGATGCGAATATGACAAGATGTTGACGGACAACAAGGAGATCGTGGCCTTCCTGAAGAAGACGCTCAACCAGCGGGTGGACGAGATCGCCGACTTGACCCTCCAGCTGCAGAACCTGCAGCAGGCCAAAGACCTGGAGAAGGACGCCTTCGAGACCCAGCTGGTCCAACTGAGGCACGAATTCCAAGAAACCAAGGACCAACTGACCTCGGAGAACATGGTGCTGAGTAAGCCCCATCGCGTCCGGTCCAATTCTTAATAATAATCATAATAATAATAATAAATGGCACTGGAGAGAAATGTAGAATGAAGTGCCTGGGCAGGCTTGCACAGAATAAGATAGGGTAGGATGGGATATATAGGATGGAATCGGACGGGATGGAGCAAGAATGAGTTTCAATGTGGAGAAAAGCCAAGTCTTACACTTAGGCAGGAAAAATCAAAGGCACAACTACAGATTGGGGGAGACCTGGCTTAAAAACAGCAACTGTGAGAGGGATCTTGGAGTCCTGGTGGACGATCACTTGACCATGAGCCAGCCGTGTGCAGCAGCCAAAACAGCTAATACAATCCTGGGTTGTATAAACAGAGGCATAGAATCAAGATCATGAGAAGTATTAGTACCGTTTTATAAAGCCCTAGTAAGACCACACCTGCAGCCAATTTTGGTCACCATATCACAAAAAAGATGTTGAGAGTTTGGAAAAAGTTCAGAGAAGAGCAACTAAGATGATGAAAGGCCTGGAGACTAAAACATACGAAGAACGGCTGCAGGATTTGGGTTTGGCTAATCTAGAGAAAAGAAGAAATAGGGGAGACATGATAGCAATGTTCCAGTATTTGAGGGGCTGCCACAAAGAAGAGGGGGTCAAATTATTCTCCAAAGCACCAGAGGGAAGGACGAGAAACAATGGTTGGAAACTGATCAAAGAGAGAAGCAATCTGGAATTAAGGAGAAACTTCCTGACAGTGAGGACAATTAACCAGTGGGACAGCTTGCCACCAGAAAATGTGGGCGCTCCATCACTGAAGATTTTTAAGAAGAGACTGGACAGTCACTTGTCTGAGATGGTATAGGGTCTCCTGCTTGAGGAGGGGGCTGGACTAGAAGACCTCCAAGGTCCCTTCCAGCTCTATTCTGTTCTAAGATATAGGATAGGATATAGGATAAGATATAGGATAGGATAGAATAGGATGGGATAGGATAGGACAGGATATAGGATAGGATACAGGATATAGAATAGGATAGGATATAGGATATAGGATAGGTTATAGAATAAGCTAAGATAAGATAAGATAACCTTTATTGTCATTTTCTACTGTGGGCCCACTGGCACACATTAAAAATGAAATTCCGTTGCCTGCTCTCAAAGGTGTACACATACATCACACACATACAGACATGCTATATACATACATATGTATATGGCTACACCCTTACATATAAATGTTAATCACTGTCCATCTTGAATACAAAGCAGAAAGAGGAAGCATGAGAGTTCAGAAAGTTGATTCTGTATGGAACGAAACTGGGACTGAATCTGGATGTTCGGATAAAATAGGTTTTATCGAAGTCCTTGCTAGCTATCCCGCTCTGCATTCACACTTGTGAGCAATGTGTGTGTGTGTGTGTGTGTGTGTGTCTCTGTGTGTGTGTATTTGGCATCTGAGACGAATCCGTGGTGGAAATGGTGGTTTCTCCCTCCGACGTAGGTGGGAAGTTGGCCGCGCTGGAGGAATTTCGGCTACAGAAAGATGAGATTTTGGCGAAATTTGCCGAGCGGGAAAACCAGCTGAGGAAGGAAGAGGAGCAACACAAGGACGTCATCTACAACCTCGAACGGAAGGCCGTGATCGACAAAGAGAGGTTGGCAGCTCGTTCTAAACCGGCATTTTTTTAAAAAATGGGTTGGGGTTTTTTTTGCCTGCTGAATTAGTTGCTTCCTTGTGATTTCGATGACCCTAGTTTGGTCTATAGTTAAAGCACCAGACTGGGAGTTCTAGTCCTGCCTTAGCCATGAAAGCCAGTTGGGTGACTGAGACAATCACCAGGTGACGGTGAATTCTAGACCTGCCTTGGCCGTGAAAGCCAGCTGGGTGACTTTGGGCCAATCACCAGGAGACGGTGAGTTCTAATCCTGCCTTAGCCATGAAAGCCAGCTGGGTGACTTTGGGCCAATCGCCAGGAGACGGTGAGTTCTAGTCTGGCCTTGGCCATGAAAGCCAGCTGGGTGACTGTGGGCCAATCGCCAGGTGATGGTGAGTTCTAGACCCGCCTTAGCCATGAAAGCCAGTTGGGTGATTTTGGGCCAGTCACCAGGAGACAGTGAGTTCTAGTCTCCTGCCTTGGCCATGAAAGCCAGCTGGGTGATTTTGAGACAATCACCAGGTAACGGTGAGTTCTAGTCCGGCCTTGGCCATGAAAGCCAGCTGGGTGACTGTGGGCCAATCGCCAGGTGACGGTGAGTTCTAGACCCGCCTTAGCCATGAAAGCCAGTTGGGTGATTTTGGGCCAGTCACCAGGAGACAGTGAGTTCTAGTCTCCTGCCTTGGCCATGAAAGCCAGCTGGGTGACTTTGAGCCAGTCCCTCCTTCTCAACCAGCCTACCTCGCAGGGTTGTTGCTGTGGGGAAAATAGGAGGGAGGCGCGTCGTTGCTGGCTTATTTATTCATAACCCCTCCCCAGGATGAAGAAGGACATGCTGCACCGGGTGAACGCCGTGGCCGCCGAGTTCCGCAAAGTGGCCAACAACCAGATGGCGGAGACCACCAAGCGCACCATCCGGGAGAACGTGGCCATCAGCCTGCAGCTGACCAAGGTGACGGAACAGAGCCTGCAGCTGATCCAGGAGAACGACCGCCTGAAGGCGGCCCACGCCGAGGCCACCAAGCAGCTCCAGCTACTGGAGCAGAACGAGAAGAAGATGGTCAAGAACAGCCTCGGCCACCAGAAGGCAGGTGCCTTGGTCCCCCCGGGGTCGGCAACGGTGGCCCCCTGGGCCAACTGGCCCGGCTCGTTGGCCCCGAGTTTGCCTCTCTGGCGTCCGCTTAACGACCGGTCCCTTAACGAGTGTTGGAAGCTACAAACAGACCTACCATTGTATTAAAGGGAATCCTAAGCTTACGACCGGTCACTAAACGAGTGTTTGAAGCTACAGACCTACCGTTGTATTAAAGGGAGTCCTCGGCTTATGACCGGTCACTAAATGAGTGTTTGAATTTACAACGGACTTTCCGTTGTATTAAAGTTAATCTTCGGCTTACGACCGGTCACTAAACGAGTGTTTGATGCTACAACGGACCTACCGTATTAAAGGGAGTCCTCAGCTTATGACCGGTCACTAAATGAGTGTTTGAATTTACAACAGACTTTCCGTTGTATTAAAGTTAATCCTCGGCTTACGACCGGTCACTAAACGAGTGTTTGATGCTACAACGGACCTACCGTTGTATTAAAGGGAGTCCTCGGCTTATGACCGGTCGTTTAATGAGTGTTTGAATTTACAATGGACTTTCCGTTGTATTAAAGTTAATCCTCGGCTTACGACCGGTCACTAAACGAGTGTTTGATGCTACAACGGACCTACCGCTGTATTAAAGTTAGTCTTCGGCTTATGACTGGTCACTTAACAAGAGTTTGAATTTACAACGGACTTTCCGTTGTATTCAAGTTAGTCCTCGGCTTACGACTGGTCACTAAACGAGTGTTTGACACTACAACGGACTTTCCGTTAGTCCTTGGCTTACAACCGGTCGCTAAACGAATGTTCAAAGCTACCAACAGAGGTATAAACTCAAGCGGATCGCATTACTGATCCGTTTTACGACCGGGATGCTCCGTGTCCGTCATAATTCGAGGACTACCGCTGATGCGCCCAATCGGACTCTCCTTTTCCCGGAGAAGCTGGCCCTGAGCCACGGCGGGCGTTTCCCCGTCTGAGCCTGCTCGTATCGGCCGGACGGCTGAAACTCCCAAATGTTCCTATTTTAACGCCCTCCCTCCGGTGTAGATGATCTGGATGCTGACGGAGAAGTGCAAGGAGCTGCAGAGCGAGCTGGAGGAGCAGCGGAAGACGAAAGCCCACCTGGCCAAGGTGCAGAAGTCCAGCGAGACCCTCTTCCAGCAGAATCTGGTCCTCCGGTAATTTTCTCCCCGCCTTCCCCGCTCGCTCCGGATCGCGCCCCGAGCTGCGGGATTCGTATCGTGTCCCTCGTGACGGAGGCCCTTTCTCTGCCTGCGGTCCGAAGGGTGGAGAGGCTGGCGGCTTCTGGAGCGGCCCGTCTCCCGTCGCAGGAAAGGCAGAGCAGGAGAGGAAAAGAAGACGGGGAGGGAAGAGGAAAACGGAAAATCTTCCTTTCCTTAATTTCTTTCTTTCTTTCTTTCTCCTTCCTTTCTTTCTTTCCTTTTTCTTTCTTTCATCTTCCTATTCCTCTTTTCCTGTCTTCTCTCCTTCCTTCCTTCCCTCGCCCTGCCTCCCTCTCTCCTTTTCCTTCCTTCCTTCCTTCCTTCCTTCCTTCCTTCCTTCCTCTTTCTTTCTTTTTCTTTTTCTTTCTTTTTCTTTCTTTCTTTCTTTCTTCCTTTCTTCCTTTCTTTCCTTCCCTCCCTCCCTTCCTCTTTCTTTTTTCTCTTTTCCTATCTTCCTTCCTTCCCTCTCCCTCCCTCTCCTTCCTTCCTTTTTCTTCCACCCCCTTTCCTCTCTCCCTCCTTCTTTTTCTCTTTTCCTATCTTCTCTCCTCCCTTCATTCCTTCCTTCTTTCCCTCCCTCCCTCCTGTCTCCCTCCCTCTCTTCCCCTCCCTCCCTCCTTTTCCTTCCTCCCTTTCTTTTCCTTCCTCCCCTTCCTCCCTCTCTCTCTCCCTCCTTCCCTTTTTCTTTTTCTCTTTTCCTATCTTCTCTCCTCCCTTCATTCCTTCCTTCTTTCCCTCCCTCCCTCCTGTCTCCCTCCCTCTCTTCCCCTCCCTCCCTCCTTTTCCTTCCTCCCTTTCTTTTCCTTCCTCCCCTTCCTCCCTCTCTCTCTCCCTCCTTC